CATACACTGCAATTAGGTTCTGAACTGAAGATTCAAAGAAGAGGGAAACTTACCCTGCCCACGAGGTGGTCTGAATCCAGGAAGTAGAGTTAACAAGTAACCCTCGAGTAGGGACACAATGTGGTAAGCGATGGAGAAGATGGGTGTCAGTGTAGGGAGGTACAGGGGACTTGGAAAAGCTTGGAGGATGAGGTGACCCTTAAGAGGAGCCTTGTAAAGCGAGGAGAAACCAGAGGACAAGTTACACTCTTATGGGAGGTAGGGGCACAGAGAGGGTCAGCAGAGTGGTCCTAGGGAGCTCCAAGCCCATTTCACCAACCTTCCCATCCAGAACAATCTCAGTCATAATCACTGTGTGTGTCTCTCTCCCCATCAATCTGTCTATTCATCCATCCTCTCTGTGCCTCTGTCCACATCTCTGTCTCTGTCTCTCTCTTTCTTTTCCTGTCTGTCTCTGTGTGTGTGTGTGTCTCTCCGTCTGTGTCTCTCTCTCCCTTCCCTTCCTTCTACCCCACTCTCTTCATGCACTCACTCCCTAGCTTCCGGGATGCAGTCCACTCCATCATCAATATCACCCTAGTCCAAGCCACCATCATTTCTCACACGGTCCAACCTGACAGCCTCATAACTTGTCTTCCCATCTCTGCTCTTGCTTCCCTTCCATCAATCCTCCACCTCCCTGACAAAGCAAATGTTTTAAAATGCAAATCTAATCGTGGCACTCCCCTGCTTAAAACTAGGGATAAGACCAAACTCCTTGACACAGCCTGCAAGGCCCTTCCCATTCTCCAACCACATCCAGCTCCACGCACCACCCCCCACTCATTCTACCCCAGCCTCCCTGGTCTTCCAGTTCTTCAAAGAGTCCTTCTCTATCCCACCCCAGGGCCTTTGCATTTGCTCTTTCCTCTGACCTGGGATGCTCCCCTCACCCCTAGCCCCACATCCCTTTACCTAATTAACCCTTACTCATCCTTCACTTTTCATCTCAGATTCAAATATCACTTCCTGAGAGAAGCCTTCCCTGATTGCCAGACTATATCAGATCTCACCGGTACATGTTTTCTCATTCCTTTGACTTTTTCTTTCTTTCTTTTTTTTTTTAGATTTTATTTATTTTTTCATGAGAGACAGAGAGAGAGAGGCAGAGGGAGAAGGAGGCTCCCAAGGAGCAGGGAGCCCGATGCGGGACTCGATCCCAGGACCCTGGGATCATGACCTGAGCCAAAGGCAGACGCTTAACCATCTGAACCACCCAGGCGCCCTCTTTTTTTTTTTTTTAAACGATCTTATTTATTAATTTGACAGAGAGAGAGAGCACAAGCGGGGGGGGGAGCGGCAGGCAGAGGGAGAGGGAGAAGCAGGCTCGCTGCTAAACAGGCAGCCCAATGTGGGGCTCGATCCCAGGACCCTGGGATCATGACCTGAGCCAAAGGCAGACCCTTAACCGACTGAGCCATCCAGGTGCCCCCCTTTTTGCTTTTTCTTGATAGCACTTATCCAAGTTTAGAATTGTGTATGTGTGCCTGTGTGTGTGTATCAGATGAACTGATTCATGTCTATGTCTTGCACTTAAGATTCATGAAATGAGAGACCATGTCAACCTCTTTTTTTTTTTTTTTAAAGATTTTATTTATTTGACAGAGAGAGCACAAGCAGAAGGAGAGAGAGGGAGGGAGAAGCAGGCTCCCTGCTGAGCAAGGAGCCTGATGTGGGACTCGATCCCAGGACCCTGGGATCATGACCTGGGCCGAAGGCAGCCGCTTAACTGACTGAGCCACCCAGGTGCCCCAGACCATGTCAACTTCTTAAAACAACTGTATACCCAGAACTCTGTAAGTGGCTAGCACACACTTCCAGTTTGTTACAGTCCCCACCACTCCCCTTTGCATTCCCAACTCTAAGTTGTGTTAGTAACAATTTATGTTTGTGCTGCCATTTTTCCTAGAGAAAAGAATTATTCCTTTAGACCACTGCCTCCATCAAAGTGTAAAGAAATGGAGGCTAGACCAAGAGGGCCAAGTGTTTCCAGGAAAATGGGAGACAGCATATTTCTTTATGGAAGTAAAGAATGTACAATAAATAGTTCTCTCTCCTGTACTGCCCTAAAATTCTTAATTTTTGAACAAGAGGCCCTGTATTTTCATTTTTGCATTAGGCCCTGCAACGATGCAGCAAGTCCTGATCAACACACATTAAATGTTCGGTGAAAGTCTGTTGAAAGAATGAATAAGTGAATGAATTTAGCTAACCACAGTTGATGTTCATCTTACAGAGTCAGTCAAGTGGCTCAGCCCTTGAGCAAAATTAAACAGACTTTGTTGTTGACTCAACCTGTCCCTTCGCAGGACTAAAAGCCTGAACTAGGACCTTAAAGTTCTTCTCATCTAACCCATCCACTTCCCAGGAAACTTTGACCTTGACAGGCTGCCAAGGTTCTCCATGGAGCCAGCAGAGTACCCCATCCAATTCCCCCATTCTCCAGATCACAGTCTGCACTGTTTCCACCTCTCTACTTCCTCTCGTCCTGTTCAACATCTCCAAAATAAGGCATACCTGGTTTCTTTAATTCCCATTGTACAGATGAGGAAATAGAGGCTCAGAAAAAAATAATGTCCATCAAAATTCCCCATGCAGCCCTGTTCCTCTGCCCAGCCAAGTTTGTAGTTTTATAAAGAGTTTCTATCTAGATCCCCAGAATCCAAACCACATAAATTATTTTTAGAGTGGCTAGTCAGACATGATAATTACATGCTAAATCTGAGACTATGCCCCCCAAACCTCACAGCCACCCACATTCTGACACTCTGGCCTGCAAAGACAAGCAAAGATAAACTCATCTCCCCATGCCCTACATGTCTTAGGTCAGTGGGTGCTGGGGCCTTCCATTCTTTCAATGTTTATTGAGAGTCTGCAATATGCAGGCACAGTACAGAAGCTGGTGATGCAACTGTGAACAAAACAGACAAAAGGCCCTGCCTCTCTAAGAGAGGAAACAGATAAATAAACTAATTAAATAGACTGTATATGGTATGACCATGGTGCTGAGCACTATGGAGAAAAGTTAAGCAGGGGAAGAGCAGAGGAAATGAGCATTTTGGAGGGTAGTAGTGGAGATTTCAATTTTAAACAGGATTGTTTGGGAAAGACTTGAAGAAGGTGAAGAGGCGGGTTAATACGGCTTTCCGGAGAAAGAGCACTCCAGACAGAGGGAATAGCCAGTGCAAAAGCCCTGAGGCATTATCCTTGATTCACAATGTTGAGAGGTCCCTGAATAGATTGGGGAGCTTAGTCAAACCACATACACTCCCCCTCTTAGGCCCAGCTTCTCATCTCAGTTTGGTTGCTTGCAGACAAATCTAATCTATAGGGTTTTGAGCCATTATTTATTGAACCTCTGCAATGATACTGCTTTATTTATCAACACAGTGGAGTTTTTGTTTTGTTTTTGTTCGGGGTAGTCACATTTAAATGGGAGAGTTCACAACAAAATTTCAATATCCAACTTGGCTTGGAATATCAGACCTGTGCTCACTAGGCCCACATGACTCTTGGTAATACTCTGTCCCTTTAGGGGGGCACAAGCCTCTCTGTTCACCACAGACCCAGCTAGACTCAGCAGATCCCTCCCTTATGCAGACTGCCTGGCCCTGGCTGCACTGGAGTTTGCTACCACCCCCACCCCCAATGCCTGCCTTGGGGAGCCCCTAACAACGATGGGGAATGGACACATGCCCCTTGTTGAGCATGAAAACCAGGGGTCTCCTTCACCTTAGGAGGCCTGAAAGAGGCTGGGGAAAGCCCAGCCAGTTCCTTCTCCCCAGGAATGGGTGTGGGGGGGCGGGGGCAGAACAGAGAGGGGTCTTGGGATTTCCTGAGCTATCACATGCTCTTGCATTGATTGGCAGCAGCTACAGCCAGCCCCTGGAAGTGCCCCTCCTCCATATTTCTACAGAATCTAATTCTCACACATGCTGTCTTGAGGCCCAGATTTCTCTCCCTACCCAAGTCTGTTGTGGCCTCTAGAAGAGCTGCACTAGGAACTCTCCACCCTCCTACCCTGAGGAAAAAGGGGGGTGCCTATTCACCCCAACTCTCCAAGACTGCCTAGGTCCCACCTGCTGACCTCTCCTATACTTCACACAACTCTCAAACTAGACCACCCCTAGATGATGCCCACATGGGTTTCTGTGTGTCTGGGATGTCATGTGAATGTGGTCTTTGTGCCTGTTGATAAGGGTGCTCCTGTGTTTTCACGTCTCTGGGTGAGAGATGAGAGGGTCTCCGCTGCCCTCCTGAGTGAGCCCACATGACTGGGTATTGTGTGTCTTTGTGTGAGCGTGGGGGAGTGTATGTGTGAATGGTTGCAACATCCTTATTCCTGACAGAAGGTCTCAGTGTGGCGGGCTTCTCTAAGCCAGCCTGCAACCCCTTCAAAGGCACTCCACTCAGGGACAGTCCACCTCTGGCCTTCCCCAGAATCAACACACGCACTGAGATGCATGCACACTTCCTTTCAGGAGCAGCTCCTCTGGCCCGGACAACTGACGACCCTTGAGCATTCTCGCTCCGACAGCTTCCTCTTCCCCCCATGTACTAGGTGGAGAATCCTCTATGGAGATGGACTCGGAGCACTGGCAAGGGGGAAAAGAAGTGGCTAGGAGGTGGGTTGAGAAAGGCAAACTGAGGACACATTGGAGGAGTACGGAACCGCTGCTGGAGAAGCAGGTCCCACCCACACCACGCCCCTCCCGCAGCGGGTGGAGAGGGGTAGCCGATTCCCACCCGGGTCTTCCTCTGGGGTTCCCAGGTCTCACTCCTCTCCTGAAACTGGAGCTCTAAGAAGCAGCTGGGACCCCCCTCCTCCCATGCATACACACACACACACACACACACACACACACACACACACACACACCCTTCCCATCATCCGCGTCCAGGCAGTTGCTGATTGGCTGCGGGGAGCAGCGTCCCAGCTTCCCGTCTCCGAGGCGGGAGCCGAGCAGGTCCGAGGTGGGAGGCGCACTAACCGGCTCTGGGAGCCCCTCCCGAGTCCCTGCGCCCACTGCCCTGTGCCCTACGCAAGGGCCGTGCCAGGACTCCAGGCAGGCAGGTGCGGAGCGAGCAGAGGGGACCACGGCCAAGGGTAGAAGCAAGTACAGCAGAAGAGAGGCGCTGCTGCTCCAGCTGCTGCCTCCGCCACCGCCACCACCGAGCCGGCGTCCACAGCGGGGCTGGCAGGCCGGGTGCGGAGACTAGCGGAACGAGGGGCGAGCTCATGGAGCACACGCACGCCCACCTCGTAGCCAACAGCTCGCTGTCTTGGTCCCCTGGCTCGGTCTGCGGCTTGGGCTTTGTGCCCGTGGTCTACTACAGCCTCTTGCTGTGCCTCGGTTTACCAGGTGAGGAGCGTGCGGGAGAGGGAGGAAGCCAGGAGCCCCAAGTGCGGAGCAACCCTGCCAGAGCCCCCAGGTCTCGACATCCTCACCTTGCGATCCCTGGCGCTCCCTCTGAAAAAGTTTAAGCCTTAAGGGCTACTGCGGACATTTCCAGACTGGGGGAAAGGAAGTTGCTGTGGCCTGGCGGGGACTCTCGTGTGTGTGTGTGTGTGTGTGTGTGTGTGTGTGTGTGTGTGTGTGTGTGTGTGTGTGTGTGTCGAGCGTGCGTGGCAGCTGATGGGCATGGTGTATGGGTTGGTGTGAGTGTGCGCATGGATTTGAGTATTTGCATGCGCATCTGAAGGGATCCGCGTCCCTGAGGGTGTCCAGTGGGGGCTGTGTATGTGACCTCACCGCACCTGCCAACAGATGGTTTAGTGGGGGCTTCACTTCTCCCGTCGCCCCCCATGTCCACCTCAGCCTGAGGAAACCTCTGCCCCTGTGCCCCACCGCTGTCCCCGCCTGATTCCAGGTGAAGCGGGAGACTGATGCCCAGCACACTTTCTCTGGGGCCACTGGGATGGAGCAAGGGATGAGCCCCTGTGACCCCTAAGCGAAGAACGGGTCTCCAGGCAGGCTAAGAAGGGTCAGGGTGGCTCTGGGACCATGCTTTGACCAGGGCAAGGATCCAGAGACACATACAGAATGCAGAGACCGCCACTTCAGGGGGTCACAGTCTCCTTGAGGACATGCCTTGCCCCCTGGCTTTGCTTCCCTATCTACCCACCCTGGGCAGCTGACGACTGCTGCGGATGTCTAGCTGGTCCCACATCTTAACGTCCTCTCCAAAGTGTGGCTGAGACTGGTGCTGAATTCCTGAAGAGAGCTGAGCTGCTGGGGGCTGGGGGGTGCTTGCTATTTGTGAGAGAGGGGGAGGGGTTTCCTGGGGTTCCAGCTTGAGATAAACCCTTCTTCCAGATAGTCCCTGAGACAGTCTGTGTGCAGAAAGATTCCTAAAGATCACTTGCAGGGAGATGAGAGAGGGACAAAAGGAAGCACAAAGAAAAAAATCCAATGTACAGCCTAGAATCACAGCATCATCTACCCTGTCATTCCGCATCCCAGGATCCTGGGAACTTGAGAGCTGGATTGGAGAGGCTTGCTGAGATTTCCTTTTCAAAACATTCAACTTGGTGGTCAGGGGCCCTGATAAGGTTGTTTAAATACATGCCCCCTCACAAATTTTGGCAGGCACAGAAAAGCATAAGTTTACAATCACTGAACCTCTCTCCCAGCAAGTGATGAGGTTTTTATTACTAACTAATCGTTCTGGCTGCCCTGGGAGACACTCAACCTCTGATTCGCCCTGCTGGGGCAGCAGCACTTGTCCTGTAATTACCTTGAGCAGGAATTGATTTCAGTCCAGTCCCCACCTCCCCCTGTCAGCCCTCCTGAGCCTCTCCCAGAGCTCTCTTAAGGTGAGTGAGTTTTTGAGAAGGTTGGTTATTGGTGACACTTGCTGAACCAGAAAAGGGACAGGGCCCCTTTTCCCTTCAGCTCTCACATCAGAATTAGTCTGACCCCTCCACCTTCACCCCTACATCTCCTCTGCTGACTAAAGTAGCCACTCTCTCAGGCTTTTCTTCTGAAAACCCTTTAAGGGACAGAAACATAAAGACAAGGGGAGGCTCCAAAGGTCCAGAGCAGGAACATGAGGATGAGCAGAACAGGGAAAAGCTCAGACCTTCAAACACCTCAAGGTGGAAGGCAAGATACCTCACATCTCCACAGCATAACTCCTATGCCAGCTAAGGGCCTTTCTGACCCATAGCATTGGCACCTATTGTGCACCAGACAGTGCTAGGCACAAGCTCATCAAGGCTGAGCCCAGGATTTGGAGACTTAAAGGAGGGAGGGATCGGGATGAGAACTTGGAAGGCATTGATGAGTACTAAGGGTTGTGGCCACCTACTGTGTGCCAAGTGCTAAAGAGGTGCCTAAGGGACTCAGGGATCCCTAAGGTACAGTCCCTGAGTTCAAGGAGCTCACAAGTAGAGTTTGTGGTAGATGCAAGGACCAAGCATTCTGGAAAAGGATGACTGAAGAGGCCAGGCTTTCGGGAAGACCATGGGCTGATAATGGTTTTGTTAATGGTTTGCAAGGTGGTTCAAAAGTAAAATCCTTAAGTCATTCTCTTAGAACCCTAAGGGCAGGCAAGTATGTCCTGGTACCTAAGAATGCAGACTACAGAATGAAGCTGGGTATTAACATGTGGACCTTCTGTGACTCTGTGCCTCTGTTTCCACATCTGTAAAATAGGCATTAGGACAGCAGCTAACTCCTGGAATGATGATGAGAAGTAAAAATGTTGATGGAGATGATGGTGCAAGTTAAGCACTCAGCTCAGGGCCTGACGCACCACACGCTGATTATCACTGTGGTGTGGCAGTTGTGGTCATCATGAAGCTGATTTGGTTGTGAGGAGGGGGGCTGCTTGGCATGTGAGCCAGAGAAGGGGCTGGGAGCCACAGGAAAAGCACTTAGCTCAGCGCCTTACTCCTCCTGCTGAGCTCACTACAGTTTTCCCCCCCCCCCCCCCCCCCCAGCAATTAGCAAACCCTCGTTACCCTGCTACTGACCGGGATGCACAGCTATGCTGGGTGTGAAGTAACAGACCACAGGGCTTGGTAATATTGTTGAAAACTGAGATTTTAATTGAATCACTTTTCCTGGCAGTAGACTCACCCCATTTCCAAATTCTCACAGGGATGGTTGAAAACATGGGTGGGAACCAAGGGGTGGATGGGGAGTGGCTGAGTGTTTGGCAATAGGGGAGCCATTAACTAGGAGAAAGCACAGATGTTTCTTACCACCTTCAGTCTCCAGACTGAAAGGAAGAGCTTAGGAAAAGCATGTGGTCCAATATCCTGCCTCTAGGAATGGCCCCAGACAGTCTAACTTAATTGGTATGGAATGGGTCCCAGGGGGTCCTAATGTGAAGTATGGGCATTTAAGAACTCTTAAGAACTTAAGAACTCTTAAGAATCTGCCACTTAAGAACTCTTAACTTTCTGTACCATAATTTTCCCCACCTATAAAATTAGGGTAACAGCAGTATCTACTTACCCACACAGATAGTGTATATTAAATAAGACTGTCTATATAAAATGGCTTAGCACAGTGTCTGGACTGAGGAAAGCACTTATTAGTGCCTTCTCCACACTGGATCTTTTTGTATGTTAAATACTTAGATTATTGTACTTAATCCCCACCACATCCCTGTGACCTGTGCGTGTCTCTGAACCCATTTTACGGATGAGCAAACTGAGATTCAGAGAAGTGGAGCATCTTGTCTATAGTCACACAGTCAAGCCAGTGTGCAAACACCTGCTCTTTCAATTGCACCACAGTGCCTTCATTATTGCCAGGAAGTTCTTTTAACTAACCTCAGTCCTTCATGCTATGTGCTCAATGGAAAATATTGGTGTCCCAGCCATCCCTAAAACTCTGTCTCTTTTCCCCGCCTCTTAAGTAAGCAAGATGTTTCTAATCTTTCAAAATACATACAATAAGCCAGCCAAGCGAACAAGGTAGAGCTGGGGACACTGATGGGGCCAACAAGGACAAGACAGTAAAGAGCAGAAGGGAGTGCAGGAGGAAGAGATGAGCCTGGTGCCTGGGGGGAAGAGAGCGGCAGAGAAGACAAGTGAGCCTGGCCGATAAGGAAGGAGCAGCACAAAACTAAACTGAGATTCGAAAGATATTTTTTAAATTTTACTTTCTAAAAGGCACCAGGGATGTTAAAGGAGACAAGGTAAGGAAGATGATAGTCTGAAACCACGCACCACCCAGCTGATAGGAGCATTTCTGCAACTGCCAATAGGGGAGCCAGTAACTAGAAGAAAGCACAGGTTAATACCTGCCTGTGAGGGTCGGTGAGAGATGGAGATGATGAGTCTGTCACCTGGCAGACAGTCAGTGCTGTGACACACAGTAGTGACAGTTATTGTTAACCAGGGGTGGGAAAATGGTGACCAGTAAGATGGACTGAGTACTCCAGATGTGTTCTCATTCACCTGTAAACATCTTTCGAGAAAATCTAGTAAACAGGTTAAGAGTATAAGGTCTGGCGATAGACCTCTGGGGTCTGAGTCCTGGCTTTGCTACTTATAAGCTATGTGACCTTAGGTAAGTGACTTTAACTACTCTGTGCCTCACTTTCCCATCTGTAAAATGGGATGATGGTAATAATGGCACATACCTCGCAGAGTTGCTGTGAGGCTTCAGTGGGTTATTCATTTAACACACTGCCTGCCACACAGTCAGCACTCTATAAATCATTTTTTTCATCATTTAAAAAATTAAGGAAAAATTCTCAACTTGTTTTATGACACTTGTTTTACCCTAATGCCAAAACCAGACATTATAAGAAAACTACTGACCAATATTCCCCATGAACACAGACACACACAAAAAAATTCCTCAAGAAAATATTACCAAATCTAACTCAGGAATATATAAGAATGATAATAAACCAAGACAAACTTGGGTTTATTCCAGGAATGCAAGGCTGGTTCAACATTTGAAAATCATCAGCGTGATCTACCATATTAAAAAAAAACAAAAAAGGAAATCCATATGATCTTCTCAATAAATGCAAAAAAAAACTATTTGACAAAATTCAACATCCATTCATGATAAAAACTTATCAAACTAGGAATATAGAGAGAACTTCTTTAACCATCAATAAGTAACCTATAGCTAAGGTCACATTTAATGATGAAAGATGGAATGTTTTCCCCTAAGATCTGGAGCAAGGCAAGGATATCTGCTCACGCTACTCAGATTCAACAGCATACTGGAAGTTCTAGCTGGGCAAGGAAAAGAAATAAAAGGTATACTGGAAGGAAGAAATTAAACTGTTTCTATTCACAGATGATACAATTGCCTTCAGAGAAAATCACAAATACTCCACCAAAAAAAGTTCCTAAGAACTAATAAGTGAGTTCAGCATGTTTGTAGGA